CTAGCCACCCAAGCTGGAAATTAAGGAGTATCCCTCTGAAATGGAGCCCCTTTTCTTCACTTCCATGTGCTATTGCTTTAGTTAAGGCCTTAAGCATCTTCTGCTTGCACTATGGTGCATGAGATGTTTTACAAAAATGGCCACAATTCTTCCCCTTTCTGTATCCACAGTTTCTGTAATGTGACTTTGCAGTTTCTCCATTAAGAGAGGAACTCTGTTTGCTTTCCCTTGAATCTGAGCTTGTTTTGTGATACACGTTGGCCAAGAGAATAAAGCAGAAGTAATGTTGTGCCAATTCTGGACCTAGACCTAAAGAGGTCTTGTGCATTTCTACTCACTCTCTTGGAACTCAGCCTTATGAACAAGCCTAGGCTAGTCTGCTGGAGGATAAAAGACCAAATGGAGCAGAAACAAGCCATCACATCTGACACCATCATAGGCCAGACAGCTCCCAAGCAATACAGCCACTGATTGCAGATGCATGAGTGAGCCCAGCTGAGACCAGAAGAATCACACAGCTGAGTCAACCCAGATTGCCAACTTGCAGAACTGTGAGCTAAACAAATAGTTTTTGCTTTAAGCACTAAGTTTTGAAGTAGTTTGTCATGCAGCAAAAGCTAACTGATACATAAGACAATGGCTTCCTAAATAATCTTCCTGCTTCCAAGCTCACCAACCTCCCCTGGCAACCACCACCAATACAGCATCCATTCTGCCAGACTCATCAAAAACTCGTCTGAATTTTTTACTTCCCTTCTTAAAATCTACCAGTAACTTCCCATCAACCACAGTATAAACTCAACCTTCAAAGACTTAGAAATAATTTAGAGCTTTTTAAAAATTTAGCCCCAGACTCATTTCCTAGAATTCCTCACCTCCTAGCCCTCCTCATCTGTCAACTTACCATCTAGCCATGTTCTACTATTCTATGTTCCATGAAAACACCCCATGCTTGACATTTCTCCAAGCCTTTTCTCTTACTATTCTCTCTACTAAGAATAGCCCTTCCGCCCTCTTCTCCATTTCTCCATCTTCATGCCCCCTAGAGCCTAGCACAGTTCCTGGCATATAATAAGTGCTTAGCATATATTGAGATGAGTGAACAAATTACATTTCATGATGGTGCTCTGATCCAATTATAGCACTAAAGAAGTGCTTACTATGTGGCCAAGTACTGTGTAAATGCCACAGCAACCCTATTGGGCATATATTACCACTATCATCACCATCATCATTGTCCTCATTTTGCAGATGAAGAAACTTAGGTTTGGAGAAATCAGGTGACTTACCAAAAGTTACTCTACTAAAATAAATGATGGCAGCCCAGTAATGAAAAGCCTGGGGAATCTGATACTACCTTCTACTGTGAGGAGTATCAGCCCCAGCTATTCCAATCTATGTACCTGGTTCTGTTTTCTTAACTTGCCCTTCCTGACTTTTTCAATTTTGAACTTCTAATTAAATGTTTCAAAGTGCTTGTCACTAGTTTGCTCTACTCATCTTCTTTCTTTTAATGTGTGTCTTCCAAAGGGAGATTGAAAACAAATCTAAATGTATATTAAGGACCAGAATTTTAGGCATTGAACTAGAGAAGAATCTCCCTTGGAATCTAAAATCTTTGTTGGAGTAGATTCTTCTCCTAAAATCAGCAAATTGTGGGCCATGGTCTGTTTTTGTACAGCCCTCAAGCTAAGAACAATTTTTACATTTCTTAAAGATTGTAAAACACACACACACACACACAAAAAGAATATGCAACAGAGAGTCATATATGGCTCACAAAACCTAAAATATTTACTATCTGGCTCCTTACAGAAAAAGTTTGCTGACCTCTATCTTGGGCCATTCTTCCACTCATATTCTTCCCTGATAGTCTGGGTTCCCCCAGAAGCAGACTCTGGGGAAAGGATTCCAGTGCAAATTATTTATTGAGGTAGTGATCCTGGTAAACACCAATAATGAAGTGGAAAAATTGAGACAGAGAAGGGCTGGGAAGTGTGCATTGTCAAATGGGTTATCCCTGTGGGCAATTAGAGTTTAAACCCACTGGGGACTGTGGAAGACAGTGTAGATCACATACGTCAGAGCCAAGGGATGTGTGAGCCAGGGCATTTATCCATCAACTCCCATCAGTCATTGGCTACGGGCTATTCCCTGGGAAGTGTTAATTCCCCAGCACTACCGGCCTTCCCAGGGCAAACTTGTTCCAATTGCCAGATAAACCTCTTAGGCAAGGGGTTGCAGGTGCTGGTGGTTGGATGTCAGGCAAACACACACAGAAATGGTAAATGCCAAGGGGATATAGGTGGGGCAGTGATAGCATTTGCCACATCCCTTTCCCCCATTCTACTGTGAATAAACTGTACTTTTAAAAAATATATATACCAGTGTCAAAATTTAAAACTCACAAAATGGGGTGTAGAGAAATATAACTTTATTTCTTGCTCTTGAGCTCCCCCCATCCCTATTGATGGTGCTAACTCTAGACATCTCAGTTTCTTAGCTTTAATTGCTTCTTTCAGGTATACTGTTTTTCTGATTTTTGCCTATCAAAAATTCTTCCCCCTCTTTTTCCCAATATGGTTACTAGGTCCATTTAAAAAAAAATTGAGACAGGACCTCGCTCTGTCACCCAGGTGCGATCATGATCATACAGTAGTGCGATCATGGCTCACTGCAGCCTCAACCTCCCAGGGTCAAGTGACTTCCTGCCTCAGCCTCCCGGGTAGCTGGGACTATGGGCACATGCCACTATGCCTGATTAATTTTTTTGTATTTTTAGTAGAGATGGGGTTTTGCCATGTTGCCCAGTGTCAGATCCAGGGGTCCAGGTCCAGCCCATGCTGAAGTCCAAGGGAGTGGGCAGATGGGCAGAAAGAACACTTCGGGGGTTGTAGGCAGGTAAAATGTAGTTTTATTCAGCAGCAGCTCTCATCAATAGCTTACTCACACTAGCTCTCTCACACTGTCCACCTTTATCTCAGCTGTCTGCTCTGGTTCTCTGGCTTCTGCTGCCCCCATGCCTGCAACTGCATGGCCGGCTCTCCGTTGCCTTCAGGGTTAGCAGCTTAACTCTTTCTGTCTCTGGGCATGAGCAAGCCGAGCTGTGTCCTGGCTCCCTCCTGTGCATCTGCAAGATGGAAAGCTTTGGCTCTCTCTCTCTTTCTCTGGGCACCAGCATGCCTACCATGTCAAGCCATGTTGAGCTGAGCTGAGCCCCAAGAACCCCTATACAGCATTAGCAGGGCAATTATACCTTTTACAGAAAATAGTAAGCCAAGCATGAACGTACACAAACAAGTTATATAGCAAGTGGAGGTGTGTGCCTGTGTGCTGTACTCACTGAGTCATGCAGGCCTGGATATCCACCTCAGCCTATTCCTTGACCAAAGCACATCCATGTACCTTATACCCAGGCTGGTCTCAAACTCCTGGGCTCAAGTGATCTGCCTGTCTCAGCCTCCCACAGTGCTAGTATTATAGACATGAGCCACAGTGCCCAGCCAACTAGGTGCACTTTTATGACTGGAGGAAAGATGGCCTGGTCCTCCTGCTATCTTCTGGGAGTAGCCTGGACCACCTACTCATTTGGCATCCTGCCCTGGTCTCCACTGAGTTACGGCTAGTTTCTGGACATTGTGCTGGCATCTTCTACTATTGATCATAGACCTTGCCATTGCCTCCATGGTGAGGTCCCCAAACTCTACAGCTTCCTTGTCCTCAGACTTTCTTGAACACATCTCTCCTTTCAATGTTTCTGTGCCCAAGTTAGGGGTCCTGGAACTCTCTACTGCCTCTGGAGTATGCGAGACTGTGAGGCTGTGGAGGTACCTCTCTCCACTGCTGTTACTTGGCTTCTTCCTCATCAAGAAGGAGGCACAATGTTGTTGCAGATTTCTCTGAAATGTTTGTATTAATCCAGGATATGCCTGGCGAGATGGTCACTTACCCCAGTGCTCTCAGATTCTCCCAAGCCTATCTGGGTGTTCCTACCACCCCTTACTTCTGCCCCCAAAGAGGGCTATTTGGAGGATGGAAAGAATGGGAATGTAGGGGGACACTTGCATCTTCTTCCTTTCTCTGTGTCCAGCGTCACCTCCCAGAACTGGAACGCTGTTCCCTCTCCAGTGTGCAGGAGTGTCCCTGACTTTCACTGTGTCCCTGTTTTTCCTACTCTATGGCTTTTCTACAGCCAACTCTTGTCTTAGTCCATTTGGGCTGCTATAAGAAAATACCACAGAACAAGTTGCTTATAAACAACAAACATTTATTTCTCACATTTCTGGAGGCTGAAAAAGTCCAAGACCAAAACACCAGCAGACTTTGTGTCTTATGAGGGTCCACTTCCCGGTTGAAAGATGGCATTTTCTTGCTGTGTCCTCACATGATGGAAGGAGCAAGGCAGCTCTCTGGGGCCTCTTTTGTAAGAGCACTAATCCCATTCATGAGAGTTCTCCCCTCATGAACTAATCATCTCCCAAAGGCCCCGCCTCTTAATACCATCATATTAGAGATTAGGTTTCAACATAATGAATTTTGGGGAGACAAACTTTCAGACCATAGTAACCATCTAAGCTTTGGTTTCTATTATACAGGGGCCCAACTTTGGGAGTCCTAAGAAAACTCCTTTATTTCTTTTTTTAGTCTGGCTTTCAAGATTATTGCCCCAGTAAGGGTTTTTTTTTAATCTAGTTGAAATTTAAAACTGAACAATGACTATTTTATCCTATGCTGTATCTACCTCCTCCTCCCAGGACAGTAGGCCTTCATCTTATTGCATAATCTTAATGGCAGAAGAACAGCAGGTGCTTCCTCTTTTCTTCTTCTTCTCCTCCTCCTCTTCCTCTTCCTCCTCCTCCTTTAATAACTACCCACCAAAGAGGGAAAACACATTTGGATAGTATTTTAAAACATTATCCTGGCATCTAAAATAATAAAATCATGGGAAGTAGTGAAGTGTTGACATCTATTTTTTCATTATTTCTACTTCAAGAAAATGAAAATTGGTTTGCCAATAATTAAAATATTGCGTTATTTTTATTGCATTTTGCATAAACCTTAATTCAAGTTAATTATTGTTATCGAGAGAGGAAATTTGAAGCCAGAGGGCAAAATCTTTAAATATTACCTCAAACATACGAGGTAAAACACTTTAAAATGTCTTCTCAGGACAGAATAAGAATACTCCTTATTTAGAAGACAAAATTCTCATCATCAATTATCAGCTGATAGGTCTAGAACACCCACCAGAAGTCACATTTGTGTTAATGACATTTCATTTCTCAATGTGCACATACCCTTACAATTTTAGGCTCAATTTTTAAAACTTGGAACATATATTTGGGAAAGGATGAGTTTTGTATGTGAATAAGGTTACAGTGGGCAGGGCGTTCTGTTGAGCTATTTGAACAGGGCCAAAATGATTTTTATCCCAAACTGCCAAGGTGCTAAACATTTTACCATTAGACTGTTATTCCTGTAACTTAGGAATTACCCTAATCGGCAATCCTGTTTTAAAATCCTTTCATTATCTTCACCAAATATATAATGCACACTATCTACAAGTCATTATTCTAGGGCTTAATGATGAGTTGGGCATGAAAGGTGGGCAGAGACAAGGGAGAAGCAACAAATAAGTAAATGAAATAAATCAACAGCAGCTTTGTGTGGCTTCTTTTGTCAGAGGTTCTTTCTTCCTTTTGGAATTAGGCTTGAGGAAAACTTTGGGTATCTGAAGAGAGAGCATGAAGAAGGAGGATAAATAGAAGCTGCTAGAAACTATCAGATTTCCTTAATATAGCTTGCAATTTCTCCCTCCCTCACAAACACATTTTAAGATTTCTCAAGTCAGGATTTGTCCTGCAATCTAAAAATAGATTTAATAAGGCAGTGTATTTTTTGTCTTAAATTATTAAATTGTGCTTGTTATTAAATAGTGCTTCTTATAATCCATGCCATGTTACACTTAAAGAGATCAGTAATATTTTAATTGAAAATTTTATTGAGGTAATTGTCAATTTAGATGAAGTCATAAGATATAATAGCGGGAGAGCCCACATGTCCTTTAACCAGTTTCCCCTAATGGTAACATTTTGCAAAAGTAGTTCAATATTACAATCAGAATATTAAGAATTTGTAGAACTTACTTGGATTTCCCCAGTTTTGCTTGTATTCGTGTGTATGTTTAGTTCTATCAATTTGAGAACGTGTGTAGGTTTGTGTATCTACTACCACACTCAAGATATCGAACAGTTTCATCACCACAAAGTCCTTTCATAATCCTTTTTAAGTCTTACCCACCTTCCTCCAAGCCATCTTCCCATCCTTAAACACTGGCAACCATTAATCTGTTTTCCATTTCTAAAATTTTGTCATTACCAAAATATTATATAAATGGAATCATACAATATGTCACTTTTTAAGATTGGGTTTTTGCACTTGGCATAATTCTATGCAGGTTCATTTAAGCTGTTTGTACTGTACGCATCGTTGTCCCTTTTTTATTGTTGAGTAGTTTTTCATGGGATGTACATACCATGGTTTGTTTAATCATTCAACTGTAGAAGGACATCTGAGCTGTTTTTGGCTATTAGATCAGTAATATATATTGAGAACCTATTACATGTGTTACGTACTTTCATATTTGTTGTTCCAACTAATCTTTACCCCCCCCAAAAAATCCTTGTAAGATGAACTTTAGTGTCTGTGCTTACAAAAAAAGAAATTGAGGCTCCACAACACCAATTAACATGCCGCCATCACACAATTGGCAAGTAGCAGGTTAGAATTCATACTTAGATATTCAATTCTCAAGCCAATGAGTGCTATTTGTCAGTTTATTTGATGACTTCTTCCTTGGGTTATCACAGGCATTGGGGCTGCGGCCGGCTAAAATGAACGCAGAGAGCACTTAGGACTGTCGATGTATCCCCAGTTTTCTCCATTATTTTCCCACCATAAATCAGAATAGATCTGAGGAAATGTACAGCAAAATGACTGATAGCTCACCTGGCTCTGTGTTTTGGAGGTTCCTGGGCTTAAAGGGTCATCGACGAACGAAACAAATAGGTGAAAGTGAGTTTTGGTTTCCCCCATCTTGATAAATAATTGTCTCTTGCGCTGTTTTCTCACTGTCTCTTCTAATTGGCAAGTGTGTCAGGGGAGTGGTAGTTAAACTGACACATTGTCATTCTGAAAACAAATGACTGGAAATGCCACACCAGTTCATATAGTACCAGAAAGCCTTCCAAGCAGCCCATCTGCTCAGGAGAGGGACATATTCTGCCTGTCATAACTCAAGCACAGCCTCCTGGAGAAATGAGTATGCCTGTTAATAATGAGCCAGCCCTCTGAGGGAACAGCCTTCAGGAAGATAGGCACATGGATGCTACCCCCTTTTGGACTGCAATGCTGGGACAATTCACAAGCCCTCCCTCCTAATGAAAGTGCTTCTCCTACCATCCCATCACCTGCCATTGCCACTCCCATTCCATATCCCTCAAACCAATCAGAAATTCTCCTCCTTGGGACAACAGCAAGGGGACATATGTACATTTCAAGGGGAAAATTAAAACCATGATAAGATACAACCACAAACTCACCACAATGGCTAAAACTAAAAACATTGACAATACCAAGTGCTGACAAGGTATGAAGCAACAAGAACTCTCATATATTGCTGGTGGGAACACAAAATGATACAATTGGTTTGGAAGACTGTTTGGTAATGTTTACTAAAAGCTAAATATATGCATCTCCTGTAACCCAAAAATCCGACTCCTATCTATAAACTCAAGAGAAATGCATGCATATGCCCACCAAAGGACATGCACAAAATGTTCAAATTTTCATAGCAGCTTTGTTAATAATAGCCAAAAACTCAAACGTTCACAGTGGGTAAAATATTATTGAATATTCATGCAATAGACTACTACACAGATAAGATTCTGATACATACAATATGGACGAATCTGACAGATGTTATGTTAAGCAGAAGAAGCCATGTTCACAAAGAGTATACACTGTGTAATACCATTTACATGAAGTTTGAGAACAGGCAAAATTATTCTATGGTAATAGAAGGCAGAAGAGTGGTTACCTCTGGGAAGGAGTGAGAGATAGTTACTGAGTGAAAAGGGGCATGAAGAACCATCTGAGGTGCCAAAAGTGGTTCTATATCTTCAAGTGGTTATTTGGGTATATACAAAATCTTATCAAGTAAAACACTTAGGGTTTGTACACTTTATGCCTTTTACTGTGTAAACTAAATGTTAGACCAAAAATTTTACAGTTTCAAAAAAAAATATGAAGGAGAATTGCTCCCCTATTCACCTCATGGGACACTGGACCAGGCCACCCTTTTTTCCTGTCCTCCATCTCATCTGTGGATCTGTGAACACCAGGACATGTGGCAGGGCCAGTTGACTACTCCACCCAACAGATTATTGGGGGAAGGAAAATTGATACAATAGTAGGCATACTTAGTGGGAAACCAAATGAGAGATTGGCACTGCAGTCTGAGGCAGGATAAGCACTTCATGCTAACATGCCTCCAGAGACTTTTCCTGTCTCCTGTTAACAAAATGGTGACTCATGCAGAGATGGAGATGAAAGAATTACTTGAGCATGGATGATTTCCATTCTCTTGGAAACTTGAGTTAGACAGATAGAAAAACACACACACAAGCACACACACACACACACACACACACACACATCGGCAGTGGGGGGCAGAATATATCTCTGACAGGCACTGATTCCAGAGTGATTTAAACACTCAAAATGAGAGAGAGATATTTCAAAAATATTAGCAGGTGTACCAAGCTCACATAATATATGCATTTGTTGTTTCTATTTATCTATTTTCTATTTTACATGCAGTAAAGTTCACTCTTGGTAGCATACAGTCCTATCAGCTTCAACAAATGATATAGTTCTGTAAGCACCACCATAATCAAGACACGGTTCTATCACACCAAAAAATTCCCTTGAGGTGCCCCCTTTGTAATCAACTCCTTGTCCCACACTTAAACCCTGCAACCACTGATGGGTTCTTCAGTGCTGATCTGTTGTTTTACCTTTTTCCACAATGTCACATAAATGGAATCATACAGTATGTTGCCTTTGGGGCCTGACTTCTTTCACTTAGCAGAAGGCCTTTAAGAATAATCCAAGTTGGCTGCATGAATGTCTTCTTTTGAGAAGTGTCTGTTCATATCCTTTGCCCACTTTTTGATGGGGTTGTATTGTGTTTTTCTTGTAAATTTGTTTGAATTTTTTGTAGGTTCTGGATATAGCCCTGGCAGATGAGTAGATTGCAAAATTTCTCCCCATTCTGCAGGTTGCCTGTCCACTTCGTGATGTGTAGTTTCTTTTTTGCTGTGGCAGAAGGCTCTTTTAGTGTTTATTTGGATTCCCATCAGTTCAATTTTTGGCTTTTGTTGCCACTGCTTTTGGTGTTTTAGGACCATTGAAGTCCTTGCCTCATGGCCTTTTTCCTGAAATGTATTACCTGGTTTCTTCTAGGTGATTTTTATGGTTTTAGGTCTAACATTTAGTCTCTAATTCCATCTTGAATTAATTTTGTATAAGGAGTAAGGAAAGGATTCCAGTTCAGCTTTCTATCATGGCTAGCCAAGTTTTCCCAGCACCATTTATTAAATAGGGAATTGCTTCCCCATTTCTTGTTTTTGTCAGGTTTGTCAAAGATCAGGATGGTTGTAGATGTGTGGTATTTTTCTGAGGACTCTGTTCTGTTCCATTGGTCTATATCTCTGTTTTGGTACCAGTTACCATGCTTGTTTTGGTTACTGCTAGCCTTGTAGTATAGTTTGATAGTAAAGGCTCATCTATTCCACTGGCCATCAGAGAAATGCAAATCAAAACCACAATGACATACCATCTCACACCATTTAGAATGGCAATCATAAAAAGTAGAGAAACAACAGGTGCTGGAGAGGATGGTGAGAAAGTAGGAACCGACTTTTACCACTGTTGGGGGACTGTAAACTAGGTTCTAACGCATTGGGAAGACGTGTGGTGATTCCTCCACAGGATCTAGACTGAAACCATTTGACCCAGCCACCATGTCCACTCATTAGGTGGGAATTGAACAATGAGATACTTGGACACAGGAAGGGGAACATCACACATTGGGGCCTGTTGTGGGTCAGTCGGAGGGCGGGGGAGGGATAGCATTAGGAGATATACCTAATGTAAATGATGAGTAATGGGTGCAGCACACCAACATGGGCACATGTATACATATGTAACAAACCTGCACATTGTGCACGTGTACCCTAGAACATAAAGTATAAAAAAAAAAGAATAATCCATGTTGTTGCAGGTATCCGTATTTCATTTTGTTTTATTGCTGAGTATTCCCTGCCATGTGTTATTCCTTGTTTTGGGCAATTATGAATAAGGTTGCTATAAAATTCATATACAGGTTTTTATATGAATATATGTTTTCATTTATCAGGCAAATACTTATAAGTGGGATTGCTGGTAAATGTAGGTTTAACTCTATAAGACACTAACAGTTTTCCAAAGTGTTTTTGACATTTTACATTCCCACTAGCAATGTATGAGCACTCCAATTGTTGTACATCTTTGTCAACATTTGATATTGGTGCTTTTAAAAAACTGTAGTTATTATACTAAGTGTAAAGTGGTATTTCATTGTGGTTTTAACTTTTATTTCCCCAGTGACTAATGATGGTGAACTTCTTT